AGGGGGGGGGGGGGGGGGGGGGCGTGGGGGGGGTCAAGCGTTTTCTATTTATAGAATCTACAAGAAGCCCTAAAACATCTTTCCCACAAGGCAGAGATGGAATTTACCCTAAGCTCATGAACCTCAGGAGGACAAGTCGTAGAAATGCATACCAGGAAATGCAGTTCACTCTATTTATCTATTTTTACCACTCCTCCACCCTTTATTACTACAATTTCTATTTTCCAGTCCCTAAATTGACTAACTGGTTCCTTGTCTGAATGCAATTTATCCCCATAGTCTGTTCCAAAACATGGCAACAACACATGACTCACCTTAAAGGGACCGTTCACCCAAAAATGAAAATTCTATCACCATTTACTCACCCCTTATGTCATTCTAATATTGCATTGGACACCATTTCATTGTGTGGACAAACACACAATGTTGAAACATTCTTCAAAATATATTTTTCTGTGTTCCACAGAAGAAAGCATTTCATACAGGATAACTCTTTAAATGCTAATCTCTTTAAATGCTAAACAACGCAGTGTTACTACAAATGTAAAGTACAACCCAAAACACAAGCGCTTACCTTCCACTCATAGTCCAACTGCTTCATAGCACGGCAGACCTCACTCATGATATCATTCGGTCTGCTCTGGCTACGGATTCCCAGGTGCCACTTGGCCCGCCGGACACCAAGATGCTTGGACTTTTGGGGGTTAAGCTCATCCAGCGTATGTCGAGGACGTGGCTGGGACTCAGTCACCAGGAATGGCACTCTCTCAGGGTGAATCTTCGCAGAGTGGTGCGCAGGCAGGTCATCTAGGAAGCTGTCCGGGGGGCTGGAAGCCAAATAGAAATCTTTGGCCTCGTTCATAATACGCCGGTTGTCTATGATCAAGTGATAGGCCACAGCAAGAGGATCCTGGTGATTGCGACTGCAAAGAAAGCAAGGGCAAAACCAGGACAGATGAGAGTTTATAGTCGTTTGGTAGCATTTATTTTGACTGCAGTGACACTGAAAGAGCTTAAACGCTAGTACAGCCCAATTCCTGAAACATTTAACTCTTTTAGGTGTTTTTCTCAACAACAGGTAGTTTAAAAAAAGATGAGTTACATTTGGAATTTTGCCAATAACGATAATGGGATATTATACAATGTTTTTTTACTTAAAAAGGACCATACCTACCATGAACTAACAATAAACAGTTGTATTTTTTATTAACTATCATTAACAAAGATTATAAATAATAACAAATGTATTGCTCAGTTTAGTTAAGATGTATTATCTAATGGAACTGTGCTACCAAATTTTGAATACTGAAATAATGTTTAAATAGGAAACTAAAACTGCTAGTAGGTTGCAGCATGTTTCTTCTTAATGAGTGAGTCACTGAATCCTTCTTTCAAATAATTTATTCAGAAACATTTATGATTTCAGTGTTTTAGTGACTGTCTGAATGGGTTATTAACTCACTGATCATTCACTAAAACAATTAGATCAAAAAGCAGACTTGTTCAGTAATGAAACTCATCTGTCTTCAGAAATTAAATCTAATCAAATCAGGAAATCTTTATCAAAAGCCGGGATTAGATGCCAACATGAAAGTCCTTTGCAAAAGTTTAATTTGATCATATAAAAATCATGGCATTTTCCCATCAACACCACTGTAATACTCCATTCCAAAGGAAAGTCTTAATTTCCTCTAATATGAAATTTCCCTCCAGTGTGTAGACACCCTAAAGAAGTGCAAGTAACAAAATGTGATGCAAAAAGAAAAACACATACAAACCTGTACAAGCAGTTGAGCACCTCCTCCTCAGTGCACTCAAACTTCTCACACACCTCTTTCAGTGCCTCCTCATCAATCATATTACTGCTATATGCAGCATCCTCTGGGAACAGATACTTGGGGAGATCTTGTTTAAACCACTCATCCTCCCTGAGAATGGAGAGCAACGAACAGAGAAAGAGATTTGTACTTTTAGAAATTTTGCTCTCCATATCCTAATAGTTTTGGCATTGCCAAAATTAAAATGGACAGTGTTTGTGTAGTTTCTGACCGGATCTCTTTAATGGTGGCTCTCTTCATGGGGTCCACCTGGAGCATGTGTTTCAGAAGGCTAATAACGGAGGGGTGCAGATACTGAGGCGTGAAGAAGATTCCATCGCAGATCTTCTTGAAAAGTGTTGGCACATGGTCATCATCAAACGGCAGCGTTCCACACAGCAGAGCGTACAAAATCACACCACTGCTCCAGATATCCACCTCAGGCCCTGCGTATAACCTGAGTGAGAGCAGCAAGAAAATATAAATGAACGGACAACACAAAGCCATTCAAAACAACACAGAGCATTATCGTAGAGGATGAGAGCAAGTTGAGATCATTTCAAAATAAAAAACAAAAGCAAACAGTACCTTCCAGAGATGACTTCAGGAGCAGCATAATTAGGAGAACCGCAACTCGTCCTTAAGAATTCTCCATCTGACATCATGTTTGATAAGCCTACATGAAGAAAGGTCAAAGTTTAAGTCAGTATAGCCTGTAAAATAAACATTAAAGAAAGAGCAAATCCACCAACAACCTAACTTGTTTCATGTTTCTTAATATGAAGAGTTCACATACCAAAGTCTGCAATCTTGGCATTCATGTGTGCATCCAGCAGGACGTTCTCAGGCTTGAGGTCTCTGTGCACCACCATATGTCTGTGGCAGTAATCCACCCCTGAGATGATCTGCTGGAACAGACGCCTGCTCTCCTTCTCGTCCAACTGACCAGACACAGGAACATGTTTTTACACATTTCCCATGTGAACTGACCTGAACATTCAGTTTACAGTTCCCCTTCTGCAACCTACTGTGCCATTATTGTGGCTCCTGATATATACTACTTTTTAAACATTTGGGGTCGATTTTGAATAGATGTCTTACATTCACCATATAATATATATTTTAAAATGTAATTTATTCTTGTGATGCAAAACTAAACTTTCTGCAGCCATAACGTCACATGATCCCTAGGGAATCATTTTAATAAGCTGATTTTGTGCTCAATAAACATTTCTTATTACTATCAATGTTGAAAACAGTTGTGCCGCTTAATATATTTGTAGAAATTATGCATTTTAAAAAAATTCTTTGATGCAATGAAAGTTCAAAAGAACTTTTAACAGAATTTTCTGTCGTTTTTGACCAATTTAATGCATGCTGAATTAATTTAATGCTTGTTGAATAGTAGTGTACATTTTTTTAAATGAATTCTTAGATTAATTTATTTATTCTGGCAAGATTGGAAAAGATTATTCTACAAGCAGAAGAATAGAGTTCAGATGAACTGCAATAAACTAATGCAAGGGGACTACTGTTTTTTTATGCCAATGGCATTAAAGTTACAGTTCATTTAAACAAATACCAAATTACTTGCATTCTATTTAGGATTTCACGATTACAAATCATTTAAACTAGGGATGCACCTATAGGATTTTTTGGGCCCGATACCGATACCGATTTTAACAATCACTTATTGGCCGATTCGGATACTTGATATTTGTCACTTCCTCTCTTATTTGAAATTTTGGCATCAAAATAGTAGTATTTTGATAATGTTTTAAATCAGCAAAGTTAAAAAAACACCTGCATTAAATTATGCTAGCAGTTTTATTGCTGCATCATCAAATAATTTCTAATGAACATGGATTGGATCCATTTAACATTCAGCAGGCCTACATAAATACAACAGAACAAAGATACATATTAAATAAACAGTGCTTTTTAGGTAGGTTTAACAGTTTTCAGGTACAGAAATGTAAAATAACACTTCACTGTATAAATTAAAGGGTTCGAATCTAGTTATATTAAAAATGGTCTTTGATCTTTCAAGCTCTATCATTGTACTCAGCGGGTGTTGCATTGCTTCGGTTCAAAAGACGTGAAATAAAAAGCACCTTTCCATTAAAACAAAGTGTCTCACACGGCTCCAGGGGGTGAACAAAGGCCTACTGTAGCGAATCGATGCGTTTTTGTAAGAAAAATATCCATATTCAAAACGTAATAATCACTTTAATGTAGCTTGCGCCAGCAGTTGTACACAGAAGCAGTTCCGGGAGCATGACGTATGAGTTCAGCGTTGCGCATGTGCAAGTGAGTCTCGTGAAAACCAACGTTTGTTTACAGGATCAAAAGAAGCAAAGTTTCCTTACTTTAGCAAAGGAAAACCAGTCTCCTCTTGGCTTATATCGAAATCCTCCAACATCCTTTATTACAAATCCTCGTTTTGTACTTCTAATTAGTGACCGTTGTTTTGTTTCGATCTCTCTGCGTGCGTCACTTCTGAGCGGCGCATGCACAAAGCTGACCTCATACGTAATTCCCCCGGAACTGCTTCTGTTACAACAGTGAGCGCAAGCTAGATTCAAGTGATTATTACGTTTTGAATATGGATATTTTTCTTACAAAAACACATCGATTCGCTACAGGAGGCCTATGATCACCCCCCGGAGCCATGTGAGAGACTTTTTTTTGTGGAAGGGTGCTTTTTATTTCACGTCTTTTGGACAGAAGGAATGCAACACCCGCTGAGTGAAACGATAAGAGCTTGAAAGATCAAAGACAATTTTTAATAAAACTCCGACTGGATACGTCTGAAAGAAGAAAGTAATATACACCTAGGATGCATCGGGGGTGAGTAAATTTTTTTTAATTTTTGGGTGAACTAACCCTTTATTTCACGTCTTTTGGACAGAAGGAATGCAACACCCGCTGAGTGAAACGATAAGAGCTTGAAAGATCAAAGACAATTTTTAATAAAACTCCGACTGGATACGTCTGAAAGAAGAAAGTAATATACACCTAGGATGCATCGGGGGTGAGTAAATTTTTTTTAATTTTTGGGTGAACTAACCCTTTAAATACATATTAATCCTTATTTATTGTAACAGACTTTATTATGATTAATCTTCTAATTTGTTTTTGTATACATTTTAATATTAATAAGTAATAATAATTAATATGTTTAAATATGTATGAGATCTCTATTACCAAGGCTGTACTCTTATTTTGACGGGTTTTCTAGTCTACGGAGCAGCTATATGGGTAATGAAAGCACGCAGTTCTTCGGACTGAAAGTTTGTCAGTTTATTAAGCACCCCCCGAAAAGGCATGAGATCTGTATATATTTGTTTACTGTTAGTTGTAATAAGTGTGTGATGATAATGCAACAGAGAGAGAGAGTTTAATGTTCACTTCTCGTGCTGTGTTTTGTTTAGCTCTTATGGCGATTTTTTTGGAGTGAAAAAGGACGCAATAAACTTAAAACATCAGTAAAGTTTTGGTCATCATTCAGATGAGGTCCGCTACACTTATGAAAGTTACAAAAGTTATTTAGTCAAGAATAGTTTGCAATCTTTTGTCTTTTGTTATTTGATTAGCATTAAAGTGCAGACAGTAGCGCTAGGATTATGCAACAGACATTATACAGCTCAGTGCCTTCACGCAGTTAATTAATAACCCATCGGTTTGTTATATCGGCCTTTTTCCTTATATAGCCGATATGCCGATGCTTGTAAATTGAGGAAAAATCGGCGGCCGATACATCGGTGCATCCCTAATTTAAACCTAAATTGTACGGCTATTGTTTAACTATTGTAATCAAAATGCACTTTTTCTTTCTGTTGAGCTCTGTTTGATTGACAAGCATGCAGATGCTCTATAGTGTATTTGATTAACGTGTGTGGCATCAATTTTCTCACTTTCTGCTGGTCACTCCGCAAAACTGAAATGTTCTCATTATAAGAACACCACATTAAAATTTAAGTAAAAGTATTTTTCTACTGTAAACTATTTAACAATATTAAAAAACCATCACTGATGGAGCATCTCTAGGCACAGCACAAAGGCCAAACTACACAACAACTAAATTAAGTCAGTTATTTTCATTATCCATTATAATCAATTAACTTTTTAAGGCCCTAATCATAACCCACAAATTAAAACTGAAGATGTACCTTTCCATTTTTACAGATGTAGTCAAAGAGTTCTCCTCCTGACACATATTCCATTACCATGAAGATGTCTGTTGGTGTGCTGATGACTTGGTAACTATGAAACAAACAAAATGCACAAATTGGCAAACAATACATGTCACTGGTTCTGTCAGTGTAGTGAACGTAATGCATCTGAAGAACTATGCAAAAATCTCAAATGTGTCCAAAATGTTTGCATCATTCTAAAAAATTTTATAAATTCTGAACTTTCCCAATTTAGTACCGATTTAGAGATGAATTAAGGCATATTTCAAGGCTTCGATTTTTCACTTCTACTATTGTTCCCCTATTTATATGAGAAAAGTCAATTAATCCCTAATGGTTTTGGAGCATGACTGGATAGCTCCGACATTCCCATGTCTTTTCTGGCCACAGTACAGACAAAAATCAGGGTGAAAGAAAACAACAAAAAAAAGTTGTTTAGAACATCAAAGGCAAAATTTGACTTCTTCTCTATAATGGGAGGAAATGGAAATCCCCTCCCTCTTTCCCATCCTCTGCAATTATGTGAATGTCTTGCCTCATTCCAAACCACAAAAATGCAAGCAGGGTCACTAAGAAAGCCTGTCCAAATTTCCATACAAACATGGGGGCTCATTTGCACACACATCAATCTGTAACTCTCTTACATACACTGGGATAAACATATATATATATATATATATATATATATATATATATATATAAAATTAACTGAAAGCAATTATGAATAGGTCAAAGTAGCATAGTCTAGCCCCAAAATAGAACACTGCAAATTCATTATCTGTGTATTAGAATACAGATGGAATGAATCAGTACTCACAGTTTGATTATATGCGGGTGACGGAAGAGTTTGAGGTTCTGGATCTCGCGTCGAATCTTCCCCACCACATCCAGACTGCGGATCTTCTGCCGGTTCAGAATCTTTACCGCCACCTGGTGCTTTGTCAATTCATGCTGGCCCACTGCACAGACAGGTAGAAGAAACAAATGTTTGTGAAGGAATTACATTTATGCAAATACAATAAAATAAATGTCCAATGTGTTTCAGACAAAGATACAAAATTAGTGCCAGTGGGTGACAGGTCTGTTCTGATAGGGCCATGGACAGCAGTGGAAAAATTGCTAAATACAAATAATAAAATGCAAGCAACCATATAATCATAGCAAAATAAACAGGCTTTTGAAAAGGAGCAGAAAGCGTTCTCTCAATCTTTTGCTGTTGATGGCAACAGCTGTTTGTACAAATGGTACAAATCAATTTGTCACTTGGTAATTTGGCTAAAACTAATACTTTATTTCACCAAGTGTTTATTCCACACTGGTAAACCACACATTTGCTGCTGTATACATTTACAAAATTTGCAAATTGTCAGGCCAATGCTGTTTACGGTAATAATAAAAATTATTATATTATTATTTGATATTACCAATATTGATTTCTAGGGATGTAACGATTAACCGCGAGCCAGTTTAAAATCGATTCAAATATGTGACGATTCAAATCGGTTGAGATGCTAAACAAATCGCGATTAATTTAGGGGCAGGAGTTTATATGAATGCATGTCTGAGGGGAACTTACGGTCTTTAGAAAAGTTTAGATGGTATTTTTTCTTTTCATCTTGCCTCTGTATAATGCATATTAAAGTTAATAAGTTCAGTGCTGCTTTGTTTACAGCGGAAACCAATGAAACGCTTTAAGCGCCACCTGCTGGCAGAGAGTGAATCTGCATCTCATTCAACTCTGCGGTTTCACGCAGCTACTATTTTTATTTAGTTTCACAAAACTGAAGTCAAACCATTCTGTTTTTTACGGTGGCCGTGAAGTGCAAAACAAATCACAATTCTGAAAACAAAATAACAAATTACAAACGCAAATGCAAGTCTAAAAAACAAAATAACAATTCAGAAAGCACAACAACAATTCAGAAAACATTATAACAAGTCAGAAAACACAACGACAAATTCAAAAACACAATGACAAGTCAGAAAACACAACGACAAATTCGAAAACACAATGACAAGTCAGAAAACACAACGACAAATTTGAAAACAAATTAACAAGTCAGAAAACACAATGAAAAATCAGACAAACCGGAAGAGGTAGGTACAGTTTGAGACAGCGCCATTGGTTTGGGATTACTCACCGCTGACTGGACGAGACATCTGTCAATCAACTTATACAGGAAGAACCAGCCGAAGAACAGCAGAGTCGTGGTAGAAAGTTCGGAGATGGTATTAAAGTAGCTCAGTTTAAATGTATTGTATGAATTGCCCTTACTATGGAATAAAAAATACGGAGTGTATGTTTACATTTAGTTAAAAGTGACTGTAAACATCAGCTCCAGTGGCGCAGATGGATAAGCGCGTGTCCTGCCTTTTACCAAACTTTTTTTTCTCCCTTTTCAAATCTCGTATTACATCGTAAAGTCTTAAATCTCTTTTTGTAAAAAAAAAAAAAAAAAAATCGTGAATCGAATCGTGAGTTGAGTGAATCGTTACATCCCTACTGATTTCCATTTTTGTTAACTTAATATCAACACAGTTACTGTAATATCTGCGTCCTGAAGTAACAAACACTGAGCTAAATGACACTCAAACAGCTGCAAGTCAGCACCTTTGAGGCTTGCAATAACATCACAGACCAAGTCAATGTGCGAGGTTCACTGCACATTTACTCAATTTTTACATAAACTATTTTCATTATGGCAAAGGCCTTGCCAACCAGCTTTTTATAAGGCTGGATATTGCTGCATCAGTATGTGCTGAAGGCCATACATTGAACCATTCCTAGAAGCTGGGTATGGTCTCGGTTAAGTTGCAACATTTAAAAGCAGGCCACCTGCATTAACTAGACTGCCCTAGTTATGCATTAACACAAACTCAGTCATGCAGAGGGAATTGTGTGTGTGTGTGTGTGTGTGTGAGAGAGAGAGTACCCACAGACCTCACATATTTCTTAGTACTAAAACATCACTGTCAACCTTGTTTATAAAGACTACTTGTTAGATTGTTGATTAGTAGGTTCCATGTTCTGTCAGCGGTACATAAACTTCTCTTTTCCCAGAAATCTTTCCACACAACACACATCCTGTCTTGAAACCTTTGGTTTGCATCATGTATTGCCCCATAACACAGGCAAATGCTTTGGTTTCAGGGGCACAGCAAGCTGGGAAGCCATGACTTAGTACAGTAGGCATTTCATTATTGCATCAGATGTGGTGTCACTGATGAGGGAAAAAAGGAAACATGATTGAGAGAGAGTGGACTTTTTGAAATGTCACCAACTGTTGGGTGCTCTTTGGCAAACATACAGTTAAAAGTAGGTTAATCAATTAATCGGTCTTCGACTCATCTGATTTAAAAGCAAATATTTATTTTCAGTATTTTATTTTTAACATTATGTCCAATGTCCTTCAAACTGTGCAAACTGAAGAATGTATATATGCTATACATATATATATATATATATACACACACATGTAATAAAAGGTTTAAAATATAAACATTACATCCTAAAACTTGACCACTATAATAAAGTGAAAGGCAAGCACAGACTAAACACATTTACTTATCTGGATAATGTAAATATATTACGTTTATACCCTATTACAACTAATAAAAATAGAACTATTCTGTGTCACTATATTTCAGATGTTTTTTTGTTGTTGCTGTTGTTCATAGAAATAAGTTATTCACTACAGTAAAGAGACGGGACTGCCGGATGTTTTATTATGACTCGATGATCACGTTGCACCCCAAGTTAAGACAACGCTAGCCTGACAAATACGGATGTCATTAATCGACATTAACATACATGTCATGCTCGATTATTGAAGTCACGACTGGATCACAGAAAAGGTGCAAGCATTTTTAATTCATAGCATGCACCTTATCAACAAAATTAACTTTTTTTAAATAAACTATTTTCTTGTCATTCTGACTTAGACTTTATGACTAGCTGCCTCTGTCGTTGTCACTTGGCCTGTGCAACGAGCGAATCCATCAATCCTCACCAAACTGCAACTTCAGAATACGAATCACTTCATAAACCATAAAGCTAACCAGGTTAGCTGCGACCAATCCCTCTACAAACCAGACTAACACAAAACATGCACGTACATATTCAGAAAACTACGTCTGCATCGATCGGCTAACATTACCAACGCTGATCATCGCAGAAAGCTTTGTTGTTAATGTTTGTTTCATGGCTACACTGTCATTAGCCAACAAGTGCTGCAGCTTTAGCCGCACTTAAAGGCTCGATCTTCTCCAGTTTTGCTTTACTGTCTTCCATACAACAATAACACAAAACCCCAAAACACCTCGGACAGCTTTACCTTTGACTTTTCCAAACGTTCCCACTCCTAGTGTGTCTCCGAGAATATAATGTCCGATTTTCACCCTGCCTTCATGTTTCTGTTTGTCCGTCGCCATCTTTGCTCTGAGGCCCTACCTGCTGAGAGAGAGAGAGAGAGAGAGAGAGACAGCAGCGTCTCTACTGACAACTACCGGCACAGAAGAGCGCGCCAAAACAACAATGTTTAATACATAAGTGAAAAATATTAACTCATTATTAACTAAAATAATGAACTAATTAACTAAAAATAATATATTAAAATTAAATTTAAAAAAAAAATAATAATAATGTTATATGACAATAATAATAATAATAATAATAATAATAAAAATAATGGTATATTATAATTCTTCTTCTTCTGGTATATTATCATCCTTCTTCTTCTTCTTCTTCTTCTTCTTCTTCTTCTTCTTCTTCTTCTTCTTCTTCTTCTTCTTCTTCTTCTTCTTCTTCTTCTTCTTCTTCTTCTTCTTCTTCTTCTTCTTCTTCTTCTTCTTCTTCTTCTTCTTCTTCTTCTTCTTCTTCTTCTTCTTCTTCTTCTTCTTCTTCTTCTTCTTCTTCTTCTTCTTCTTCTTCTTCTTCTTCTTCTTCTTCTTCTTCTTCTTCTTCTTCTTCTTCTTCTTCTTCTTCTTCTTCTTCTTCTTCTTCTTCTTCTTCTTCTTCTTCTTCTTATTATTATTATTATTATAGCAGGAATAAGTGATTAACTGGCTAAATTTAAGTTTTGTTTGAGACCACAAACACAACCTCCCTGCATGTGTCCTGAAAAGGTTATTTATTTATTTATTTATTTATTTATGTTGTTGTTGTTCATTTATTATACTACCGTTCAAATATATTTTATTCTGTCTTTTTTTAAATAAATTAATACTTTTATTCAGCAAAGATATGTGAAATTGATTTTAAAAAAAGTGATAAAGATATATATTGTTATATATCACAGGTTCAAATAAATAAATTAATAAATACACAGCTGAACTGCATGCAACTAATATGTATTTGTATATTTGTATATGCTATATTTATATGACAATGACCAAACAAGAACAAACCAAAGTTTCAACAAATATAAATGTTTTAATGAAAGGCAAATACAAACATTCAGACATTTAATTCTTTGAAGAAGTTAAAAATGATGATGACTTGATACGACTGAACCAAATGACTTGGCAAGGACAATGATGATGATAAGTATAGAGATGGAACCAATAATGACTGCAGCAATGTTTAGTTTGCGAGCTCTGGTGCCATAAGACTGTGCCATTGGGATGTCTCCAAGCAATCTGTTGTCTCTGGCCTGACACAAAAAAATATATGATAAGCTTCAGGTATTTGTAAAGCAGCAGGACAGTTATATAATTGCATATATGTATAGTGCTTACCTTTATTGAGTTGTAAAAGGCCCCAAACCCAAGACAGCAAGGGTTACAGAAGTGAAGATTGAATGTGGAAAAAATGATATCATCATTGACTTTTTGGTCAGGCATGGAGAGTATTACTGGCTGGGCAGTGAAGACTCTGTCGTCCTGTTTCATGCTCTCCCCGGGTGCTGTGTAGTTCTGCATCGCCATGTCAATTCAAAACCAAGAAGCTGCTCTCAGTGATGTTTGCAAGTGTTCAGCTCTCTTTTATAGAAAGGTCTGTGTGCGTGTGTGTTTGGATGTGTGCAATGTTAAGGAATACTGGGTGGAGTTAAAGGGATGGTTCACTCAGAAACCAGGAAGAAAAAAAACTTTTTTTTTTGTGTAATCTGCGATTTTTTAATTTTGGGGTAAACTACCCCTTTGCGAAACTACTAAATGTTTTCAATGTTTATACATAACACAAATACACACTTTCTTCAGTAAAACACTAACAATGCTTTTTAGTTGAACCCACACTCTAAAAAATGCTGGGTTGTTTAAACCCAATGTTGGGTCAAATATGGACTAACCCAACTGTTGGGTTAAAAAGTTAATTTAAAAATGTAACCAAAATTTAACCCAACGGTTGAGTTAGTCCATATTTGACCCAACATTGGGTTGAAACAACCCAGCATTTTTTAGAGTGCATGTTTCTTGGTGATTCATAATATGCAAGTTAAAGGGTGCTGTCACTTTAAGAGTCAAAAATTAATAACTGTGGCACCTAAAATGTATATATATATATATGGTCGCCGTGATTTTGCCAAGTAAGACATGGATCAACATAACTGTCCAAAAATATAGACTTAACCCAATTCCTACCCCTAAATCTAAACCTACCCATAATTTATTCCTAAAATCAGTGTAAAATGATAGCTGATTACCATGGGTGTAGAAGCACCTAACCCTGATTATAAGCCTAAAACAGATATTTCCTGAAAACTTGTCCCTCAATTCTGATTGGTTGATAGGAATGTTGTTCCAGGATCAACAAGGACATGTTGTACTTGGTGAAATCATGGTCACCATAAATATATATATATATATATTAGCCCAGAGGCTGGGTGAATATGGGACAGAACACATGCTGGGCTAACCCAGTGATTCTTAAAGTGGGTTAAAAAATAGCAATGGCAAGGCAAAGCGTTTAAGTGCTTGAATGGTGTCTGGCTCTCTGACACCATTCGAGCACTTGAATGCTCTCTCCTAACAAGCTGATGATCTGAATCTAGTGTGTCAAATAAGGGAGACATGGAAAATGTGCAGAGCAGGGGACCCCGAGGACCAGGCCACTCCAGACCACTGACTATGGCAACTTCTCAACAAACCTGACAAAGATCCTCATATTTGAATTAGTATTTACAGACTAACCCAATCCTCTAAATCTTTGTACAGTATACAACACAACATCTTTACATGATATCTTCATTTTCATTAGGCCTACATCATATCTTTATTTTTTTTGAGTAGGCCTATACAGTTCTTAATACAAGATATTTTATACCATTTGAATGTGTATACAATATTGGCTACATTTAAACTAATTTAACAAACATTTTAGAACAAAATTAAACATGTAAAAGTAATTTAAGTGAAATCAACCAGCCCTTGTTATCCTTTTTTCTCCGTAACTGTGCTGGATCTTGTGCCAGGTGTGTGCCGAATTTCAACTCCTTGACGATGTCTTGTTTGTTGAGCTTTGTGGAAAATTGGAGGTTTGACACCTAACTTTGTTATTGCTCACTTACATTTTTTTTTACATCAGTATAGTGTATTTGCAGACTTAAAAGTTTTTGTTTAATTTTTTTCTTATGTGACAATATTCAAGAAATCACCTTCTCTTTCCTCTGAGGTAAAAGGAAGTTGATCAACTTCGGTTTTGTAACATTGCACTTTTTCTTTTAATATTGCAACATTATTGAGAATTAAACTAACTCAAAGTCAGTGGAAGTGTTTTCTTTTGTGCAATATTCATCCATCATCCATTCTCCAAACCAAACCGCTTGTCCTAAGTAGTGTCATATAGGCTATCCTAGCGCCAAAACACATAAACACTCTTAATAATAAAGGTGCTTCACGATGCCATAAGAACCTTTTTCTAAATAGTTCCATAAAGAACCTTTAACATCTGTAGAACATTTCTGTTTCACAAAAGGTTCTTTGCGGCAAAAGAAGGTTCTTCAGATTATAAAAAGGTAAGAAAGAGATGGTTCTTTAAAGTACCTCAATGGTTCTTTGCGGAACCAGAAATGGTTCTTCTATGGCATCGCTTTATTTAATAATAATAGTGTACACACATCTACAGGCAATGTTTTGAAGTAGCTTCATGTTAAAAAGCAACAATGTCAGTGTTAATTTTTTTTTATTATTTATGAAATGAATTCAATTGCAGCTTTAATGCAGCTCTACAGAAGATAGTGTCTTTATTCAGGCTCAGTTTAGTTCAGTATCTGTCAATGCTGCAAAGCTCACCAATTCATCTATAAGCAGCTCTACAGAAGGCAGTAGTGTCATTATTCTGTGTTTAGCTGCTGTTGGTCTAAGTTGTGAGTGTTAGCGTATTTGACTATTTTCTGATTCTGCTAATGTTCACAAGGTGAGATTTAACATCATAAATTCAACCACTTATAAATTAGGTACAAGAATGGAATCACTATCATACAGGAGCATATCCCCCAGAAGTCACAATAGAATTTGCAAGTCTCTGTGTATAAATATACAGGATTCACAGGATGACAAAAAAGGAAGAGACTTCACAGATAAACTAGTCTGTCTTTTCTGGGTTTGGAATGTTTTGGTCACAAAATTTTAATGATAAGTAACTGAGAAAACTGTATGTCGCAATGATGCTTGCTCATGCTAAGACACACCTAATCACAGTGTGGTGTTTTATCTCATCACTCTATTTATCTACTTCAGATGTTACTTGTCAGGGTTCTGTCACTTCTGTCTAGTTTATTCATGGTTTTGTGACAGAGCACTCCTGTCATGTCTTGTTTTCGTGGGAGTGCGCAGCTTCAAGCGTGGTTTCGGTTCCGTGCCGGGGCTTGGACACTCGTACTCCATGTCTTGTCTTTTCATTTCGTGTCTTTCACGAGCTGTGTATTCATTCACTCAGCGTGCACTCTTGTCTTGTGAGTGCTTGGTTTATGTCTTCATTAGCCAGGCACTCTTGTGTTGTCATGTTCTGTGTGCAACGTGGTTCGTGTTAGCACGGCTGTGTGCTTTTTTGTCCTGTTTTGGGTGAACACGCAGCTCATGAGTTTTTATCATAGCTGCCTGTTCATGTCTTGTTTTGCGTGAGCACATGGCTTTGTTTTGTTTGTTGTGCCATGTGCCCTCATGTCTATTGTCTATCCCTGCCCACCTTGTTACCTGATTATTGGTTCAGTTGCTCGACCTGTGTTTCCCTTGTTACCTGCCTTGTTTGCTCCCCGTTTATTCTCCTTGTGTTTGCAGTTCTCTGCTAGTTCATTGTCTAATATAGCCTTGTTGTTTTCTGATCCTGCCTGCCTGTTTTTCCCTATGGGGTAGTTTTTGTTGCTTTTTATTTTATTTTTATTATTAATAATAAGCCCATTCTTCCTGCCAATTGAGTCCTCGTATCATCCCTTCCTACAAAACACATCTGAGAACTTTTCCTATTATTTTAATCAGAATTTGTCAGGTTGCATGAGTAGTGAAAATATCATAGTTAAAAAAGAGAAACAAAGTCACACTATGAGATGTATCCATAGTACAAAGTCTATACAGAGA